CGCTGAATCGACCTGGGAAGATTTTCTGCTAGATTTAGCGGGGGAGATTTTCCGCTAGACTTAGCGGGGCATATTTCCCGCTAAGTCTAGCTGGGAAGATTTTCCGCTAGACTTAGCGCGGCAAATTTCCCACTAAATCTGGCTGGGAAGATTTTCCGCTAAATTTAGCGGGGACAATTTTCCGCTATATCTAGCGGGGCAAATTTTTCGCTAGACTTAGCGGGGCAAATTTTTCGCTAGACTTAGCGGGGCAAATTTCCCGCTAGATTTAGCGGGAAAAATTTCCGCTAGATATAGCGGGGAAAATTTCCCGCTAAATTTAGCTGGGAAACTTCTTTGATAGATTTAGCGGGCAACATTTTCTGCTAGGTTTAGCGGGGAAATTTCCCGCTAAATCTAGCTGGGAAGATTTTCCGCTAGAGTTAGCGGCGGAAATTTTCCGCTATATTAAGCGGGGAACGTTTTTCGCTAGACTTAGTGGGGCGAAGTTTCCGCTAAGTCTAGCTGGAAAATATTTCCGCTAGATTCAGCGGGGAAAATTTTTCGCTAAATATAGCGGGGAAACTTTTCTGCTAGATTTAGCGGGGAAGTTCTTTTTCTAAAATTAGCGGGGGAATTTACCCATCATGCACCGCGTGTTTACGCCGACGGCGACGGCGACGGCGACGCCGCTCAGGTCAGAAACGGGTGCCTAAGAGCTGCCCTCTAAAAAGAGTAACCAATACATCAATCAAGCCTCGTCAACAGTGGGACTACTAACTCAAGGTAATCACATTAGTGATCAAATTATCAATTTCCCCCCCAAAATTCTAATTGTATAAACAATTGTTCTAAGTTACCAAATCTTTAAGTGAAACAGGACCACTGAACACCCAATGAGTGCATATATATATATATATATTGTGGATTAAATTGACTGACCCCGGGATTAAATTGTGTGGCCCTTGGATTAAATTGTATGGCGCTTGGATTAAATTGAATGACCCCGGGATTAAATTGGTCGTCACTTGGATTAAAATGAGCGGGAAATCCCGTAGAAGGCAGCACATATTCGCCAAAAGGGGAATCTCAGCACGGCGAGCGCCCTCTGTCGGATACTCCTGGTGACATCACGTGATACGCCCTAAAATCCATTTATCCCTCCAACGAAATTCAAATCCTATAGCGCCCTCTGTCGAACCGCACAGATGACGCGATTAGTCGCGCGCCTCTTGTGGGAATATTAACAACTGCACTGGACATTGCGCCATCCAGAGGCATGTTTCCTCACTTTCCCGGAATTGGGGAGACATCTTGTGGGAATAACATCAACTGCACTGGACATGGCGCCATCCAGCGGCTTGTTCTCACACTTTCCCACGAGTCAACGCACTTCCCGCGATTGCAGTCATCAACGAAACACGAAATAGTTACTTGCAGGTTTGGCGTATTGGATCGCGCGTCGGGCTACTGAACGAAAGGTCGAAAAAAAAATCTTTTTAAAAGCCTTTTTAAAAGCCTCTTTCCAAGGAATTAAAGTTCGCATTTGTCACGTGACATGACGTCACCGATGTGTGCGTCTAGCAATGGTCGATGATTGGCGATGATCGACTATCGTCTGATGATCGATCATCGGTCGATTCATCGATTATCGAAAAATCTTATATCTAGATAGATAGAGTAATTGGCCGCTCCTAGATAATCGCACGCCCCTACGTCAGCTACGCAGTCAGCCGATTAGGTATCCCAATGGATAGTATCGGTGTCAGAAACTAGATATCAGCATATCGACGTCAGACACCCGATCCCCGATATCGGAAACATATCGATGTCGGAAATACATGTTTAGTATTGATTGGTTATTGGCATATCGGAAACACATGTTATAGTATTGATTGGTTATTGGTTCCATCGTGCCCCATTATATACTACTCGCAGCTCGTGCGCGTCCACAGGTCTCCAAAGCCGGCGGAAGGAGCTTCCGCACCCAGGCCACTTATTTCGAGATGCTAGGCGATAGAACGCCCAGGAACGGCGACCGCACAGGAGAGTGACGGCGTGAGGCAACAATTAGCAACCGAGGTGCTGTGGAGTGGAGGTCAGCGGGCGTACTTGGGCCGCCGGAGAGGCGCGGTGAGGCGGTGTGTACTGGTGGTCCAAGGTGGGTTAATGTTTTGTAATAAGCAATCCGCAGACTTTTGCCGCGAAGCGGAGTAAACAGGGGGGTCGGGGTGGGTTAACACGCTGACCTCCGCCCCTCCGTGATATACACGCCGTTCTGCACTCTGCGGCGCCGGAATTGGAGAAGGGGACGTCGCCGGCGATAAGTAACGCGTTACAGTTACCATTACTTCATCATAGTAACTTAGTTGCTTTCAATATACTTTATTTTATTTTAGCTATGAAGACATTGATGGCAATGCACAATGACTACAATTTATATGTTTACACATGTTTACACAATTTACACATGTATGCCATCTCCTGACGAAGCCGAGCCTCTCGGCGAAACTGTCGAAATACATGCAATAAACTCCTAGCATAGCAACTCCGCAAGTACGGATCTCTGACTTATTATATATATATATATATATATATATATATATATATTCGCCCATGCTTAGCGTTAGTGTTCAGAAATGAAAATTGAAACTCACCCCGAGGGGCTTGCGACGGTTGGAGGACGAGGACTTTCCGGCTGCGTATATTTTTTTTCAGTGTTTGCAGTGAGCAATGGAGTGATCGCCACTATACTCGACAAGGTCAGATGTAGTTCATGGCCGGGCCATAGTAACACCTGCCGTTCGTCACTCATGACAGCGTCTTGTTTGAGTGGTAATGGTTGATCACCATCCAACTATTTTTCGTCTTTCTTCCGACGTTCTCTCTCCAACCGCTTGTGTCAAAAGACCGTTGGCATCAAACAAGGTAAAGAAAGGAGTGAACGAAAAAAAAACAAAAAAAAAAAACACAAAGTCGTCTCGGAATGCGTTCCGCTTTTATTTCTAATTTCTTCTATGCAACGCAGAACAAAAGACTCGACCGTAGTTCACGGGCTCATTGCCCCTGGGAAAGGGCCAGTAGACCAGTAGAAACATCGTCTGTCGTCCCGGTGAGACAGTGTCTACTTTCGGCAACTCGCTTTTCACAAAGAAAACTATCGTTGCGACTGCTGGAGAACCGACGACAGAGGCTCTCTTTCGACGTTAAACAGTTCACCGTGAGGTCTCTACGCGTTGCGTGTTTCCGCGAGGCGGCTCTGTCGCTAGGCTGAAGAGGCCGGAAATGAGGCCGTAAAGGGTGAAGACGGGGACAGAAAGCCACGCACTAGAAGTTTGAAATAAAGCGAATGCTAAATGCGCTTTTCCGCTCGATGAGAAAGTAGAAACACCAGTAGAAAAGCGTCTGCCCTCTGCACCGGCACTTTGCTCCGGCGAAAAAGGGTTCGAGCTCTTGTTTCAGTTTGTCGCGTCTACTGTGGGGCCCAACATCCGCACATGGTCGAACCCGCTCTAGTGTTCACAAAATAGGGTCATTTTTTTCGCGAAATGTATCGGTACCTTTTGCAGAAACGTTTTAGTTACTTTTTCAAAAAAAGTTATTTAAGTTATCGTTACAATTTCTTTAAAGGGGCCCTGCAATCATATTTAAGCGTCTAACTTTTTTGCGGTTTTCACGTCTCTTGGGGTTCGGGCAAGCCAGTGGGCACGGAGAGAGTAACTAAATATCAGTCCGTCATATTTTAACCGGACGACGCGGAAACCTCCTCCACCGACGGGGGCGACCCGCGGTACCGAAAGCGCGCGAAATGTGACGTCTTTGGTCCTGGGCTTACTACTGGTCAGAGCCGCTAAAAGCTTCTTTTTAGTCGAAATACTAAATACAAGTGGCGCAAACCATTTCAATTATGTGTAAAAGTAGTTTTTGTTCAGTATTTTAGATAAGAAAAAGAAACAAATGCAGTTTATAAAGTACGAAAACAAGAAATGACCCGTCGACATACCCGCCACCAAGCGGTGGAAAAGGCGGTGCATACTAGAAAGGAGTAGTGGGATCAGGCGCCGACACGGAAAGGTCCCGGATGTACGCGGCGGCGCTGCGGTCGTTTACGGACTGAAGGATCCGACCGGCTCTGAGCGTTCCGAAGGCCTTCAGCGAGCAGCTTTGTCTTGCGTTTTGGCCGTTTCGCGATATGGCAGCGCGAAGTGGCTCCCATTCAGAACTGATCTTCACCCCGTGTTTGCTGTCGTTTGTTGCCAATGAAGTGTCATGCCGAATTAGTCTTTAATCGCGCAGCAAATGCAATGAGAGCCGCTTTGGCTACCCGCTGTATACAGCCTATCAAGAACACGCTTTAGCGGCGCCCTCTCGCGCCGTCGACACGGAGTGCGGCAGACGTGAGCGCTTGCTTAGCTCACTATCCCTCTTCTAGTTCACGGCCACTCAAGCAACCAAGGACGTCATGAGGGGGTTATTTTTTGCTTGTTTTTGTAATTTTAATTTGCCTATAACTTTTAAAATAAAGCGAAATTCGAGAAAAGAAAAGTTTCATTAAGTTACTATGGTCAGCGTGCTCAGGTTCGGTGCAAATTAAAAACCAGTAAAAAAGTGCCTGCAGGGCACCTTTAAATAAAATGTATCGAGTTACAGGTAAAGGTTACAAGAATAATAATAATAACGAGTTACATTATTGCAACACAAGTATCGCGATACTACCCGAGACTATATAACCAGCCAATCCTGTGCGGCCTCCGTTTCAATGCGACCTATCGCCTAGCCTCTCTAAATATGCACCCCGCCGCCATCTGTCGGCGCTTGTGAGAGGTGTCTCCTAACCAGTTTCCACAACCAGTGGAGCTGTGGCGCCATCACATGTCGACGTTGCGAACTTTGAATAAGTGCGCTCCCAACCAGACCAAGGTCAGCGCATGTACCAGGGCACTAATGCTAACGCATTAAAAAAAGTAGGAGTATTTTCATCATGTTTGTAAAGACTCCATTTTCTGGCTCTGTGGACGCAGGTGAAGATCGTCGATTCGCAAGGCAGGATTGTCCCCGTCAACCAGAGCGGGGAGCTGTGCGCTCGAGGCTACCTCGTGTTCAAGGGATATCTGAAGCAGGACGACAAGACGAGGGAGGTCGTGCGCGACAACTGGTACCACACCGGGTGAGAGCAGTAATAATAGCAGTGACTGAGCTACATATCCTACTATGGTCTGTGACAGATTAAGAGTGCAAAGGCGGCTCCTCCCATCTCTTTCCAGTTTAGCTGAGCGAACGCTGGAGAAAAAGTTGCCTTCTCTCCGCAGTTCGTTCTACTAATGTGAAACGATGCGAGGAGCTTGCCCTGAAAGCTTAACTTGTCACCGACTAGAGTGTCTTTGCTTTCGAATGCCGGAGAAAAGCTCACCGGAGAAAAGCTCACTGGAGATAGGCTCACCGGAGAAAAGCTCTTTGGAGAAAAGCTCACCGCGAAACCGGCAGAGGATGCGGAGAAAAGCTGACCGGCCATTGAGCGTATGCGGAGGAAAGCTCACCGATTTTTTTTTCTTCTTTTTATATGGAGGCTGTTGGATCATGCGTAACATATATCAATTTATTATCATCAAAATTAGTGAGCTTTGAAAAAATAAAAGAGAACGTCCTTTTTTGTATTATTTGTTAAGCCTACTGGGTACATTGCTCCCAAATTAATATTTCCGTGCGAGTGTTTTTTGTGGTTTACTCTCTAGGCAACGAAAGCTTAACTGAAAACTTTATGAACTTGAAGTACAGTAAAAAGTTCGAAAACTTAATAATCTGTGCCTAAGACCTAAAATCAAAACTGTAAATGCCGAAAATCCTAAAGCGTATGCGCAACAACGCGGTGCCCGAAATTCTCTTTGAAGCTTTTGTTAACCTTTGAACACGGGATAAAACAGTTAGCAGGATGTCGATGCTTCTTTCTTCCACGGACATGCACGTTTTCTAGCCGTTCGTGCTGGTTTTTTGACGCGTTGCCTTTGTATGATAAAGCCCTTCTACGGTGAGTCTCCCGTGACCTTTAGAGCTGCACACTGGCACCGTTGTTACTCGTGACCTATATAAGAACTAGTCCTCTGTACTAAGGTAGCGAATTGGGCAAGTTGGTAAACGTTGTACATGATGAGACCTGCTCCAACGATGACGACGGAGTGAAGACAACAAACACGACAGGACGAAGCTGTTCTCGCAACTAAAGTTTTGTCAGTGAAATTAACAGAAAGAAAACAGCGTAGCCGACATTGGTGGCATCAACAAACACCTACTTATTTATTAGGCACTGCTCAATATTTGCAGCTGAAGCTGTTCACACACCGCTATTAATAATAGCTCGCAAAGAAAAAACCTCTTTATCTGACAGAGCTACCGACGGCGCACTGCCAGCTGTCAATAAATTGTCTTTTTTAGCGGTGTCCGATGTCGGGATTTTATGCTTGCGGCTTCGTTAATATACAGATTGGGTGATTACTAATTTCTGAGGAATTAGTAAATATGGCCAATGAACTTCAAGAATCTTACAAAAACGAGTACATATTTGTAATGAAGTGACGAGGGCGAATTGTGTTAGATTTCCCCCTGTGTGACGCAGAATCCACCAAGCTAAGAAAAATTTTGAAAAAAAAAACGGTGAGCTTTTTTTCGCATCCACTCAAAGGCTGGTGAGATTTTCTCCGCATCTGCCGGTTTTGCGGTGACCTTTTCTCCGGTGAGCGTTTCTCCGGTGAGCTTTTCTCCGGTGAGCTTTTCTCCGCCGCCCTTCGCTTTCACGTTGTGAGCTCCCGAACACAGTTTTGCTGCTTGTAGACGTGCCGAATGTGGAGTGGGACCTCTTGCCACCTGTCCGCAATATCCTTGGCTGAGAAAGCTGCTGGTAGAACGAGGAAATAGAGTCGTCTTGTTCTTCGTACAACTAATGCCAACGCCTCTAGAAATATGCCTTTCAGATGTCTCGACCTCCCGTTGCAGCCGGCCAGTCTTTGAGTTGTAGACAAACGTCACGCGGTGGCGCCCGCCTCCTACACATCTCCGCGCTATCCGCGCCCCGTTTCTAGGCGCCCGGGCCAACTCCGTGCTTATATATCTTCCCAAAAAATACTGGACCCCAGAGGCAACAAACAGTTTTTGAGCCCAGTCACTGGGTTTGAGGCTAGACTCTCACCGGCGTCCCTGCTAACCCTAACCGAGTGTTTGCTGTCGTTTGTGGAAAATGAAGTGTCATGCCGAATTAGTGTTTAATCGTGCAGCAAGTGCAATGCGAGCCGCCCTGGCTGCCCGCTTCATACAGCCTATCCAGAACATGCTTTAGTGGCGCCATCTCGAGCCGTTGACACGGAGTGCGGCAGCCGTGAGCGCTCGCTGAGCTCACTACCCGTCCTCTAGTTCACGGCCACTCAAGCAACCAACGAAGTCATGAATGAGGCTATTTTTTGCTTGTTTTTGTAATTTTAATTTGCCTATAACTTTTAAAATAAAGCGAAATTCGAGAAAAAAACAAGTTTCATTAAGTTACTACGTTCAGTGCGCTCAAGTTCGGTGCAAATTAAAAACCAGTAAAAAATACCTTGCAGGGCCCCTTTAATCGCCCACCAAAAGTCCTAGATACCTGTAGGTCTTAACTCGTTAGATTGGTGAGCCAGCGAGCTTCAGCTGCAGCAACCTTTCTGGGGCTGCTCTTCCCTGAAGGCCCTCCTGCGCAAGTCGCTCAAGCCTGCAAGGATCTGATGATCTTTTTAAGAGAAGCACGACTTAGAACATTTGTGAACAATGACCCATTGACAAGCACAACATTATACATTCCTCACTCCCCTACTTTGTTTTTTAACAAACCCAATTTATTTTTTCATTTACCGTCTGCCCCTTTAACCTCTATCGGTTCTCCCATCTCCCTAAGCAGGTAGCAACTTGCCCCTTAGAGGAGGCCCACATATCTTCCGGCATCCCGCTTTCTCTGTACCTCAACACTTCAACTCAAAACATCAATGCAAGAACGCACGAGAGAGGATTAATCAAGTCGTTCTCGTCGTCCACACCGGCAAAGCAAGAATGGAACATCTGTAAGCACCCGGCCAATTACTCTCCAAATAACCGTGGGCCTATTGGGCCGCTTGGCGTGGTGGGCTTCACTAACTACAGATGCCAGGGTTCTAGTGGCCGATGAATTAACAGAGCACAAGGCCAGCATGGGCCTCGCGCATACAGGAGCCTTTGACGCTATTTACAACACATACACATCAAGAAGGTTCTACGTGTAATGGAACCTCCAGCCACTTGACGGCAAGATCCTTGTCTGGGAAAGCTACCAGCTGGTGGTAGGAGCAAATAAAGTATTCTTGTTCTACGTGTCCCTCAGGCCTAAGTTTGTGTCTGGTTCTTACTCCGCTGACCAAAACACCGGGCATGGTTGCTGGAGTTGAATGTAACCTTAAAGTTTAGTGTAATATTAGTTGACTTGGATACCCTGCCTCTTAATCAACCAAATTTCTTCCATCTCGGCGACTTAGGGACGAGGCCATGATGAGCGAAGATGGTCGGATCACCATCCGGGGCCGCATCAAGGATCTGATTATTCGAGGAGGAGAGAACATCTACCCGCCGGAGATCGAGAGTCTACTCTACACACATTCAGATGTGCTGGAGGTGCAGGTGTGTTTCTCTAGTTAAACTAGCCTGCTGACTGACGTAAGGACATAGGTCCGTTCCATTTAGTCAAAGCTTCTTATACTCCGTTTCATACATAGCGTGCAACGCAGTCAAAGCTAGCGCACCGGTTTGCACTGCCGACCGCCTACGTTCGCCCCATAAAATAGTGCTGCCCCAGCAAAAAAAAAAAAAAAAGTCGTAAAATGTGCATTTTTGGAGCTAGTAACTGATAGTCGCGTTATGATTTCGACGGAACACCGATATTTTTCAATAAAAAGGAAAAAATAATGTAAACTACTCCAAAGTTTAAATTGTTTTCCGTTTTCGTCCGTGCGGCAGTCGCTTCGGGTTTTCGGGTTGAGCGGCTTCCCCTGCCGCCCTGCCTCGCCGGTTTTGAGAAGATGGCGTCTTACGCAGAGAAGCTTTCCTCTCCTGCTCGGATATTTTCGGAGATTCGTTGTGTGAAGATCTCGAAAAAGTGCAAGCAAGTGATCGCCAACGTGTACGCGAGTTCAAGAACGCGTTTCCCGGAGACGTCGGTCCGTGAAGTCCTGGAGACGGTCAGTAACGACACCGGAGTGTCTGGCAAGGTGGCGTCCCCGAAGCGAGGACCTCGCAGCGTGAAAGTTTCGAGCACGCGGACCGTGTTGTGAGCTGCCTTCTGTTATTTCTGGTGTTAAAATCGGCCTTGTGGCTTCAAAGTGAAACAAGCCTCAAGAAGGAACCTTGTCGGTGATGAATCGTGCCTACGGCTTCGTCTTGATCGGCTAAGCGGACGAATCCTGTGGTTGCATTCCGAAGCGTCTGGGTTCGTTTGCCTGCCGGACCGTAACCTAGATCGGCTCCGTCTGCCTGAGGCACCTTAACCTTGGTCGGCTAAGTGGACGACGCACATGCCCGTGCCTGCATTCCGAAGCCCCTGCTTTCCCCGGAAAAGGAAACAACACTCGATCCTGATCTCGAGTGCCGTGTGTTGTGTACGCGTCTATTGTGAATCACTCCGGGTTCATGGGGGCGCCGGCACCAGAGCAGCGAGATACTGCCGTCTGGATGACTTCCATACACCGGCGAGTATTTGGACTCTGAAGGAAACTTCTATGAAGTCACATCACGCGAGGGAATGCCAAGCCGTCTGACCATTGGCAGTGCGGTCCCCTAATCCCAGTATTCGTTGTATAAAGGACCGTCCACCGTATTCTCAAGGTACTCTCTGATTTTCACGCTGCCATGTAAATAAACGGCTTTAAATAGAGACGCCCTGGATCTCGACCGTTCTTCCGTTTTGACGAGGCCGGCGCGGGGTTCAAACGGAACACCAGCCCCTAGTCTACCCCCTTATAAATGAAAAGCAACAAGAAAATAGGAATCGAAATATACGCTATCGCAATGCGCGCAATTTTGCACAAAAAATGCGTCGGGGAAAAAAAAAAAAAAAAGCCTTTGCGCCCCAAGTGGATTCGAACCACCGCCACCGAGACGTCGGTATCGCCAGAGCAGCGCCTTGTACCGC